GACCCCCACCCTGACCCGGATCACCCTTCAGGGCAAACCAGCCGGCCCCCACCCATGCATCAGGCCTCTATCTTATATAGTAAAAGGGTAATATGCAAACTGACCCTAACAGCAGAAAGACTGGGAATGACTGGTCACTATGACACACACTGACCACCAGGGAGCAGACGCTCAATGCAGGAGCTGCCCCCTGGTGGTCAGTGCGCTCTCACAGGGGGCAGCTCTGCTCAGCCACAAGCCAGGCTGACGGCTGCCAGTACAGCAGTGGTGGTGGGAGCCTCTCCCACCTCCTCAGCAGTGCTAAGGATGTCCGACTGCAGCTTAGGTCTGCTTCCCACTGGCAAATGGACATCCCCCGAGGGCTGCCGGGCTGCCAGAGGGATGTCTGATTGCCATCTTAGGCCCAATCCCCTGGGGAGCAGGCCGAAGCCATCAAGTGGTCACCGCCGAGGGGTCCCAGACTGTGAGAGGGCACAGGCGAGGCTGAAGGACCCCCCTACCCCCAAGTGCACAAATTTTGTACACTGGGCCTCTAGTATTAAATAAAATAAAATGAAAATTTTATTAGAACAATGAAAAATAAAAGCAGTAACCTCAAACACTTAAGGACAAATGACAAGTATGAATGTTATAATTAATATAAAGATCAGACAGAACCTCATCTTAGCCAGGACCCAGAATTCTTTTAGAAGAGAATTTTTGAAATAGTTAAAAAGTAGATAAGTAAGAGACAACAAAGAGCCTTAACTGCCTGCTAAGGAAAATAAAATTTACAAGATATAAACCTAAGCCTGTTTTATAATAAGCATTGAACAAGTAAAAAAAAAAACTAGCAACACTTCCAACATGAAGGATTATGCCTTATGTTATCAATGAATTTGTCAACCATGATATTCCTTTCAGACTCTTGTACGCTCTTTTGTATATTCAGTTTATCCCCATAATCTGCTCTTCCCATTCTCTGAATTAGTTTTCCTTTCATACAATTCCCAATTACAATATTAATAAAATTAAATAATGATAATCTGTTAACAGTTAAACCAACATACATAACTTTCCTGATCTTGCAAACAAGACAAAGGTGTGGCAGTTGTATGACTACTATACAGTAATTAACTTTAATATGTTTTTATTAATTTCACACAGAGAGAAACATCAACATTGATCAGCTGCCTCCTGCACGGCCCACAATCTGGATATGTGTCCTGATGGGGAATCACACCAGAGAACTCCTGGTGCAAAGGTCGATGGTGAATTGAAACAGTGACCTCCTGGTGCATGGTTCAACAGCCACATTGACTGGGCTGCTATACAATAATGTAAAATGATAACATAAATATTTGATGACATGCAGAGACTGATCACAGTAGACTATATGTGAAAAATCAGATTATCCAACAGACATGTAATAAAATCACATTTTGTAAAATTTTAAACTGTACTGTTCACAATCTCATACCTAGGTTAGACAAAACAAAACAAAGTTTTTACTCTGGATGGCAGCATGCTTTTTCAAACTCTGATTTCCTGTATTTTTCTGATTTTTATAATTGTATCTTTTAAACAGGAGTTTATATCTTTTAAAAAGAATATAAAATATTAAAATGTTTGTGATGCTTATAAGTTATTAAATTCTTATTAACATACTGGTTTTTTGTTTTCTTTTTGTTTTTTGTTCATTTTTCATTGATTTTTTACAGAGAGGAAGAGAGAGGGATAGTGAGAAACATCGATTAGCTGCCTCCTACACACCTACTTCTGGGGATGTGCCAGCAACCAAGGTACATGCCCTTGACCAGAATCGAACCTAGGCCGACACTCTATCCACTGAGCCAAACTGGTTTGGCTTAACATACTGTTTTTAAACAAAAATTATTTTACCTATATTCAATACATTAAAAATATTATCCTTGACCACTGATAATCTTATGAAAGCTGTTATCACTTTCCTCCCAGAAAACCTATAAAGAACATTTTATATCAAATGCCATGGGTTCATTAATGCACTAAGGTATATTTATGGGCTTCCACTGTCATGGGCCCCCAAATTTAAAATCTCTTTTGTAGAATAACTGCTTTGTGAGTAGCCATTTACTCACAATCCTCTATAATAAAAAAATATGCATTGTCCCCTTGACCAGGAGTTTGACCATGTGCTGACCACCAGGGGGCGGCATGGAACATGGTGGGCGTTGACAACACGGCATTGGCAGCAGGCGGCAGTGGAGGTGCTGCCAGCCCCAATGGGCCCCAGCGAGTGCAGGTCCATGGCGGGATGGTGGAGCAGATGAGCAGGCAGTGGCAAGATAAGGCGGGTGAAAGCAGGACCCAATCACCCCATTGATCGTCCTGCAGATGGCAACCAGCAGCAGCGGCAGGAGACAGGGCTGCTGCCTGGCTCCCAGACACCAAGGGAGCCAAGTGGGAGCCCAACCACCCCGACGATTGCCCCGCAGACGGCGACCAGTGCTTCAATCACCAGCCAGGCCTATGGACTGCAACCATGCCTGAATTTCGTGCACCAGGCTTTTAGTCTTAATATAGGCAACAATATTTTTCTGATGCCCAAAAAAGAAACTGGGTGATATAGGTGGGAATAAGGACAGGACAATAGGCAAAAAATTTTACCACAAAGCACTGTGATCCAACTGACTATTTTATTATCTCTCTTCTATCAGCATGACAGAATGTAACCATCTGCTTTTTGGTACTTTTTACTACCAGCTAAAAACTTTTCATAACTTATCATGTAAGTAGAATTATAAACATTACAAACTGTGTTTTCATTTTCAGTTCAACTTCTCAAGCTTTAGCTATGTACTCTTCAATATATATTTCATTTCCTAAAATAAATGTTAATAGTTTTAACTAAAATACATGGTTTATTATTAAGTTCGTCAGATACTATGTAAGCACTTTGTTTCTTTACAACCTAAGATAGTATTTGCTTTATTATTACCATTTCACAAATGGGGAGGAGCTTACACCTTACAGAAGCTATTTGTCATAATCATCCAGTACACATGTAATAAAGGAGGACTGGAATCCACATCTATGTAGCTCCAAAGCCATACTCTTAACCACTACACGCTAGAGCAGAATGAGATAAAGACAGAGAGCATCTCTAACAGTTTGGGACAAACACTTTGATATTCTAATGAAACCTACAAATTAATGTCTAAAATTGTGCATATCAAAATTTCCTTTATAATTCCTATCCATAGACTTCAGGCTAAAAATTCCTGATACAGGGATTAAGAGTAAACATCTAAGATAAAAGTGGACTACAGCCCTGACCGGTTTGGCTCAGTGGATAGAGCGTCGGCCTGTGGACTAAAGGGTCCCAGGTTCGAGTCTGGTCAAGGGCATGTACCTTGGCTGTGGGCACATCCCCAGTGGGGGGTGTGCAGGAGGCAGCTGATCGATGTTTCTCTCTCATCAATGTTTCTAACTCTCTATCCCTCTCCCTTCCTTTCTGTAAAAAATCAATAAAATATATTAAAAAGAAAAAGTGGACTACAAATGCAAAAATGTAACTCCTACCCAGCTCCACCAATAATCAGTGGTGAGATGTTAGTAAAATATCATTTCTCTGAATTTCATTTTTATTTAGTGGCACACTATAAATCCTGAAATTAAAAGTATGGTTTTATCCTAGTATCACATGTTGCCACCTAAATATAATTACAAAAAATTCAAAATTCTGACTCAAATAATGGCATTTCAAATCCTTTTGCTATTAAAATGTGAATTTTACTGCATTAATATATTAGTATTATAAGATATCCAATCATCTATTTTACCCATAATGAAAGGAACAACAACCATTGCTAAACTTAAGTCAAAAAAAATTTCAGGTTGAGACTCAGAAGAAATGCCAATAGTGACAACATATAAATTTCAAATAACGAAAATCTACAATCTTTTCTTCTAATTTTATTGACAAAAGGAAAAGATGGAAATGGTATTTTTTGCACAGGAAATGCTTTTTTGAAATTAAACTATTCTGATAAACTATCATCAGCTACTCCATGTGCTTCAGAATGCTCATTTATGTTATCACTGCAGTTAATATGTTCATTAATCATTGCACACACAGTACCTCAAATATTCTCTACCCATAAAAATTTTAGAAGGACCAAGAAGTTTAAACAGGATAGGCACACAAGAGAAAACAATATTTAGCCATAACCAACTAAAATCATGTCGAACAAAAATTTGCAAATACTTGAAACAAAGTTTGGTTGTTTTAATTATTGTGTTCCCTAAAGTTTTATTTTCTATATTTTTCATTATATATATTATTTTTAAATGGATCTAGTATACATAATTGGAAAGGAACAAATAGCAAGTGGCTTCCAGAAGGGTCAAAGTGTCATCTATCACGTTAGTGATTTTTTTTAAAGGATTAAGTTTGTTATAGGTCTTTAGCTATGCCGTAACAATTTTTTAACATCTCAAAATAATTTTTAGAATTTTGACCACATCCACATGTGTTAATAATGAAAAAGGGGGTTAAAGAAAAAATGAGTTTTATTTTTTAATGTTTTAAAAACAAAACCATAAATGAGTAAGAAAGAAGATATTTACTAAATATTGATAAATTGTGCCGAAACTGGTTTGGCTCAGTGGATAGAGCGTCGGCCTGCGGACTGAAAGATCCCAGGTTTGATTCCGGTCAAGGGCATGTACCTGGGTTGCGGGCATATCCCCAGTAGGAGATGTGCAGGAGGCAGCTGATCGATGTTTCTCTCTCATCGATGTTTCTAATTCTCTAGCTCTCTCCCTTCCTCTCTGTAAAAAATCAATAAAATATATATTAAAAATATATATATATATATATATATGTATATATATATATATATATATATATATATTGATAAATTGTCATTTTATGACTAACGGTATATAACCGAACATCCTAAAAGGAAAACTTGATGACAAAGCAAATTTAAAATACAAATCACAAAGTCATCTTCAACATACTTAAGAATACATACCTCTGTGTCCAGGAATTGATGTAAGCAAATATTCTGAGAGTATGTTCCTTTCTGAGCTGCAGTCCATCACCACCTTCTATATCTGATACTAAAATAAAGTAGAAAAGAAAATTTTTAATTATGAATAAATAATGCTAAACCAATGTTAAAGCCAATATTTCATTTTTTTTTAAAAGCCTAGATTTTTAGAACTGTAAATATTTCAGGTGACTTTTTATTTTTTGCTTTCACCAAATAAATCTTGGTTTGTTTATGTAATTATTGACTCATTTGAGCTTAAGAGATTTTTAATATATGTAAATCTGAGTGGAAAAGAAAGACATTTTGCAATTATTCTGGCATTGTCTCTCAACTTCAAATCCACCCTTCAGTTCTGTTTTGTGATGCTGGGGCTAGGACTCTTACCAGTTACATTTTTCATTTCCAACTGGCTTCCTGTTAAGATCTTCCTCCAGTGCCTACACAACACTAGAAAAAGACTGGAAGGTAGAAAGAGACCAAGGACTCTTTAGCTTGCTATATCTGAAAGCAACACTCAGCAGCAGCATTGATTCCAGTCAGGCTCCAGCTTCTAAGAACCTATCTCATGGCACCACTCTCTTAGAAGTACCAGGATTAGGCAGGCCGCATCCCTTCCCTGAAGTCCTAGACAACCCTCTTTGTTTCTCCAGCCTTAGGGGAGAATGGATGTTTCCTGCAGGCATCATCATTGTTGTCATCATCATTTTCTGGATGTTCTCTGGGTTCCTTTGCTCTTTAAACCTTCAACATCTATTTAATTATTTCTCTTTACTAAATTCCCTCTTCAATTCCCTGACTGACATACTGGCATTTCATATACAATATGTACTACTATTACTATTACTATTACTACTACTACTACTACTACTACTACTACTACTACTAAAGGAACCTAAAGTTAAATCTAATAGCCCAGTAAAGTCTTTTAAAGTACAATGTTTGTATAAAATCAGAGATCAGCCCAGCTGGTGTGGCTCAGTGGTTGAGCATCAACCTGTGAACCAGGAGGTCATGGGTCTGATTCCCAGTCAGGGCACATGCCCAGGTGTGGGCTCGATCCCCAGTGGGGAGCATGCAGGAGGCAGACGATCAATGATTCTCTTTCATCGTTGATGTTTCTACCTCTCCCTCCCTTTCCCTTCCTGTCTGAAGTCAATAAAAATATATATTTTTTAAAAATTCAGAGATCAGCAAAATGTTCTATAAAGGGCCAGAAAGGGAATATTTTAGGTCTGCAGGCCACCAAGTCTCTTTCACAACTACGCAGCTCTGCCACTGTACCTTGAAAGCAGTGACAGACAATATGTAAACAAATAAATGAGTATGGCCATGTTACAAAAAGACCAACTGGCCAGGTTTGCATGATGGGCATAGTTTGACAACTTCATGTTAAACAAAGTCCAAGATAACAAAACGCATGGCATTTAAATCTCCACTGTGTCTAGAAGTCATCATATATCTACATATATGAAAGCCTAAGCAACAGAACGACAGAACGGCCGGTCACTATGATGCGCACTGACCACCAGGGGGCAGACGCTCAGTGCAGAAGCTGCCCCCTGGTGGTCAGTGCACTCGCACAGCCACCTCCCACAGCCCCTCCCCCCAGCAGGCCAACCTCCCACAGCCCCTCCCCCCTCACTGGAGGGCCCCAATTGGTCCCTCCCGCCCTCCCCGCCTGCCAGTCAACCTCCCAAGACCCCTCCCTCCAGCTAACCTCCTATAGCCCCAATCGCCAACCAGGCCGAGGGACCCCACCTGTGCACAAATTCATGCACCAGACCTCTAGTACATTAATATTTGTTGAGCACTAGGTATGCCATAGACAATAATGAATGAAATAGCAACAATCCCCACCCCATGGAACTTAGTCTAGCCAAGAAAAGGAAGAACATAAAGATGTAAACAAATAATACTCATACATATTGTGATAAATACCAATAAGAAATCAACAAGACTATTATGTACCAAATAAGCATAACCCACCTTAAAATGGGAAGTCAGGAAGAAAATCTCTGAAGAGGTGATTTTTAGACAAAGACTAGAATGTTAAGAATTCAGACATTAAAACGAGTAAAAGAGAGAGATTAAAGAATTCTAGGTAAAGTTGATGTTTAAAGAGAATTTCCAAGATAATAGGAAGATACAAGGAAGAATACTGTGCACAGACCCCAAGAACACTTGTGGCTCAATGGTTGAACGTCGACCTATGAATGAGGAGGTAATGGATCAATTCCCAGATGGAACATATGCCCAGGTTGTAGGCTCGATCCCCATGTGAGGCATCCAAGAGGCAGCCGATCAATGACTCTCATTATTGATGTTTATATCTCTCCCTCTCCCTTTCACTCTGAAATCAATAAAAAATATATTTTTTTAAAAAAAGACAGGGGAAAGAGAATAAAAGGGCTCTAAGTAAGATGGTTCTGCAATGGGGGAAATAAACATAATTTACATTTGATTTATCTAAAAACGAGTTTTACTCTTTTAGAGGAATTATAATAAATGCTGACAGAAACTCAACACACATGCATATTAAACTTGGCAACTACTAAATATAGGGATGAAAGAAATGATGTAAGTCAAAAAGTGTAACTACAATATACTGCCTGGCTTAGCAGTGAATAATATTTACATAGTCCCAGTAACAAATACACAATATTAATTCAAAAACAATTGGAAAGGCATGGCAAGAGTAAAAAAAAAAACAACAACAGCTAATCCTCTTCCTTCCATAGAAGTCAAAAGACCAATAGACCTTCCATAGGAGGAAGTCAAGAGTTGAAAATATGTATCAAGAAATAACAATATGATTGATCATTTAAACCAGTGACTTTCAGCCTTTTTCATCTCATGGCACACATAAACTACTAAAATTCTGTGGCACACCAAAAAACATACAATATTTTTTGTCAATCTGACAAAAAATAGTTGTAATTGTGATTCATTCACACCTGAAGGCTATTGTGTTGGCTGTTCTCATTTTTTCTTTGACAATCTAAGAGAAAAAAGGTCGGCGCCCCTGACTAAATAGTCAGGTTTTAAAAATTCTTGTAACACACTGGTTGAAAAGCACTGATGTAGACACAGTCCCATCGATGGCTGGCACCAGCGGTGCACTCCTAAGAACAACATGAGCAAGCCTTTGCAGACAGCTACTGGGTAGGTACAGAAAGGGTACCAACTCTAGGGAAGTGGGAAAAAGCACACAAACTTAAAAATTCAGCACCACCGTAGGGAAAGCAAATCAGAGGCTGCCAGAACTCAACCCAGCTTTGCATGATCTAGAGAAGGCATACAATCTTAAGAATTCCCTCCAAGGGTGTATAAGCAAGTATATCCATAGAAAAGCCTGAAAAAGCCTCAATCCCTAACAGAGCTGAGACAAGGTATATCTTTCTCGAAGTCAGTCAGTAAGGTGACTAATATTCAGATATAAAAACAGCAACTCAAGACTTCAAGGAATATGAAAAAAAATCAAAGAACCTAGACCACTAAAAAAACACAGTAATTTTTTAGTAACTAACCCCAAAGAGATGAAGATATGTGATTTGTCTGATAAAGATTTCAAAATAGTCCCTTTAAGGAAGCTCAGTGACCTATAAACAGAAGTCAGAAAAACAACACATAACAAAACAATGAATGAAGTATAAAAATGTAATGGGACAATAGCAACAGCAGACTTGACCATATATAAAAATCTGTGAAGTACAAGACATCTGAAGTTACAGAGTCAGAGAATTTAGGTTTTTTATGCTATTGTAAATAGAACTGTTTTTTAAGTTTCACACTTTTGCACGGTTCATTACCAGGATACAGAAATTGCATTGATTTTGTGCAAAACTTATACACTGAAAACATTGTTAAAGAAATTAAAGAACCCTGCTGCGCATCGGGACCAGGGTATGGTGCGGAGAGCCCCTTGTCCTGGGAAACGGGGTGCAACCAGAAAGCAGGCCGTCTCCTTGCCCTTCACACAATGCACGTTCGTGGGGAACCTGGTGCTAAGGGGTTTTGTGCGTAGCAGAGGAGCTCCCTGACTGTGATCTACTGAAAGTCAGCCCTCAACACAGGGTTTGTAAAAAGAGAAAAAAAAAAGTGAAAAAAAAGAAATTAAAGATCTAAATAAATGGAAAGACATCCCATGTTCATAGATCAGAAGACTTATTATTGTTAAAATGGCAATACTTTTCAGCTTTATCTACAAATTTTCCATACTCTCTCAGAATTCCATTTGATTTCTTTTAAAAACTGACAAGCTGCCCTAACCGGTTTGGCTCAGTGGCTAGAACGTCAGCCTGCGGACTCAAGGGTCCCAGGTTCGATTCCGGTCAAGGGCATGTACCTTGGTTGCGGGCACATCCCCAGTGGGGGCATGTAGGAGGCGGCTGATCGATGTTTCTCTCTCATCGATGTTTTAACTCTCTATCCCTCACCCTTCCTCTCTGTAAAAAATCAGTAAAAATATATTTTTTAAAAAATCAATAAAATGTATTTTAAAAAAAAACATAACAAAACAAAACTGACAAGCTGATCCCAAAATTCATATGGAAACTCAAGGGATCCAAAGTAGCCAAAATAATTTTGAAAAAGAACAAAGATGATTCACAGTGTCAAATTATGAATCTTACTACAAAACTACAATGATCGAGACAGTGTCGTGCTGGCAGATGAGTAGACATATAAATCAACTGAACAGAACTGAGAATCCAGAAATAAACCCATGTATCTATAGTCAACTGATTTTCAACAAAAATGCCAAGACTATTCAACAGGGAATGTCTTTTCTACAAATGGTGCTAAAACAAATGGATAGCTTCATGCAAAAGAACGAAGCTGGACCCTTACCTCAGACCAGGTACAAAATATTCACTCAAGAGGTTAAAGGCCCAAATGTAAGAACCAAAACTATAAAACTCTTACAAGAAAGCAGGGATAGCCCTGACTGGTTTGGCTCAGTGGATAGAGCGTCGGCCTGTGGACTGAAGGGTCCCGGGTTCAATTCCGGCCAAGGGCTTGTACCTGGGTTGCAGGCACATCCCCAGTCGGGAGTGTGCAGGAGGCAGC